TAAAACGAAAAACACAAAAGCACTCGGAAAACGACAAAATGGACCGGACGACACTAAAACGAACCTAAAAATGACACGATAACACATATAAACACATGAAAATAAGCACAAAAACATAACAAACACTAACTCAACAAATCAATATTCAATCGTTTCAATCGCAAAATTAAAGTGTCACACTTTGATTATATCAATTAATTAACCTAAGTGTCACTCTTAGGTCATATCAAATTATCAAGCAAGAATTCATCAATTCCTAGCATAATCAACTCGCACAAGAACGAACAAATTAAAGCCCAACAATTACGAATTAAACAAGAACAATCATCCACTATCCCTAGCAATCGGAATTAGCTACGCAAAATAAACTCAACACAATCAATCATTTCTCCCAATTCAACCATTTTCATGAATTAAACAAGAAGAAAAACTTACAATTAATCTCAATCCAAGTGTTGAATCCAAAATACAAGCATAATTTCAAAAATGGAAAAGAAAGAAAAATGGAGAAGAAAGATGGAGAAGAGAAGAAGAGAAGAAGAAGAAAAAGTGAAGGAGAAAGAAAGAAAAAAAAAGAAAAAAATAGAGAAAAGAAGGAGAAGAGAAGAAGAATATGATGGAAAGTGAAGGGGGAGGCGATTTTCGGACCTAGGGTTCCTCCCCGTTCAAGCTGGAAGTGAAAGAATATAGAAGAAAATGAATTTTTGGGGTTTTTATACCATTTTGGGACTTGCAGGTGGGTTAGCGGCGCTAAAGAATGAAAGCTGTTAGCCTCTGGCGTTGCTAACATTTCATAGCGCCGCTAAGGCTAGGCTTAGCGCCGCTAAGGTGTCTGGGCAACGCAACTTTGCGTTTTTGCCTCGTCCGAACTCGGAATTGAGTTCCATTTTTTCCTACGCGTCGCTAACGAACTCCTCTATTTAATTATGCTTGCACGATAAGCTTTTGCCCATAATTCAGTCCGCCAGAAACTTCAGACCTACACACCATAAACAAAAAAAAACCGGAAGAACGCAATAAACGACAAAACAACCTAAAAACCAAGGAAATTACCTAAAATGGGGGAAAAAGAAATAAAAATAACAAGAAAAATTGCAACAAAATGGGACAAACACTCGTAGGCTAGGGATTATGCGATATTGTTATTGATTGCGAGAGCGAGAATTGATCGAGAGGTTAATTGATCACGAGTGACTATTTCTTGATCGCATATTCCCGAACCTATGAGTGTTTTCTTTCCATCTCGGGTCTAGGAGTACCTTTTTTCATCTTCTCTTTATTTTCCTTTTTCTTGCAATTTGAGGTGTTGCTTGCTAGTTAATGTTGAATCTTGCTTTCGTGTAGTTTAAAATTGTCATCTTTAGCTTAATCGAACCCGAAATTGCGAGTAGAGTGTTTAGGATCTTATTTTCTTTTCTTGTGTGAGTCGATCGTTGCTTAAATCCGTGTCCGAATAGCCTTCCTTTGAGAACGACCCGAGTCTGGGTAACTCAGTTACCAACTACTCAAAAATACTACAAACAAAATTCCATAAGAAAACAATCCGATGACTCAATATAATTTTTGTATACATGAATCCTATTTAATAAAATAATACCAAACAACCAACATAGGTTGACTCAAGTGGTAAGTAGTTTGATAGTCTCGAGTTCGAGTCTTTGCGGATTCAGAAAATCTTTTTTGGGAGACTCACCCAACATTGAATTAATTTAAAATAAATTAAATTAACGAGACCTAAATAAGTTTATCATAGGAAGTGACCGCTTAGACATATACAGGTGGGGTATAATAAGGCTGCTAAGTATAGTTAGGCCGGTCTATATCAGACATAAAAATGGAATTGCTAGTTGCTTAATGCATAAATTATTAGGGACAACAACAGTACGTATTAATTAACAAATAAGAAAAAAAAAAGATTTTATTTTAAAATTTTAAATAACTTTAAAAATAACTTAAAAATAACCGTTTAGATCATCATGTAATCGTCATAGATAGTTGATCTAACGGTTACAAATCTCTACGGAATAATTCCGTAACGAGAGAGCGTAGAATATCTAATTAACTTTGTTAATTACCCTGTAATTGAGTTGAATTTTGTTGCGTGGTGGGCATGAATACGTAAAATCTTTCCATATATCCACACCAATTAAATATACATATATCTCCTTTAAATACCCCAATAAGTTATGTTTCATTTGTCCAAACTAAATATATCACAATTCAAACCGATAAGCTTCCACATAAACTCCTTGCATAATTATAATCTAATGGCATCATCATTATCATCATCTATTATTAGTAGAACTCTACCACCGACTAATGGTAACTTAATCACCATTCTAAGCATCGATGGAGGTGGGATTAGGGGCATAATCCCAGCCAAAATTCTTGAACTTCTTGAAGCTGAACTCCAGGTACAAAAAAATAAAAAAAAAAAATGTGATTTTTCATGATTAATTATTTCAGAAATTAATATTTGATTTGAACATAGTAATTAATTAGAATTTATGTTGCATTTGTGGATGCATGAAAAAAAATCAGAAACTAGATGGAGAAGATGCTTGCCTGGCGGACTACTTTGACGTTATAGCCGGCACAAGCACAGGGGGGCTTGTGACGGCCATGTTGGCAGCTCCCGATGCGAATAACCGCCCGTTATACGCCGCTAAAGATATTGCACCGTTTTACGTGAAGCATGGGCCGAGTATATTTCCATATAAAGAGTAACAAATTTAAATTAATTGATCATTTGAGTTCCAATTCGTTTTGATTTATATATATTGAGTAAATTGGGGCCGTGCAATAATACAATATGCATGCATGCAGGGGGATTGTAGGTTCTGTTGGAAGGACATTAGGTATGTTAGTAGGGCCAAAGTACAATGGGAAGTATTTGAAAAAGATATTGAAGGAAAATTTGGGGGAGACAAAGCTTCAGCAAACATTAACTAATGTTGTTATTCCCACATTCGATATCAAGAATATGCAGCCAGCTATTTTCTCTTCCTATGAGGTCCATCTCTCTCTCTCTCTCTCTCTCTCTCTCTCTCTCTCTCTCTCTCTCTCTCTCTCTCTCTCTCTCTCTCTCTCTCTCATACATACATACACAACTTAGTGAGTGTTTTCAATGACCATCTCCTTCTATTTCAATCAAAAGATTATATATATAGTTTCTAAAAGTATCAATATATCTGGCATGCACCTTCACATGATCCCGGTTTGAGGCGAGCAAAAACTGAGTACGTCGTCAAAATCAACAAACTGAGCATGCAGTTCGATATAATTTGATCGCACCGAATAGAATCCGTGTATATATATATATATACTAGCTCGGTTTGGTTCGTTTCGATCTGATTTCGGTTTGGATGTAAAATTTAACAAATTAGTTTCACACTTTCTTCTGATCATTTGTGTAGAGATAGTGGATACAATTTATCAATGTTGACAAGAAAGCATAATTTATAAGTTAGATTAGCACAATTTATCTGACCACGATCTGTGCGGGGTGGCTCACCCCGTCAAGTTTTAGATTAGTAGTCCAGGCCTCTGGCCTCCTTCTTTGTACCAAAAAAAAAAGATTAGTACAAAAGCAATATCCGCTGTTGACTTTAATGAATTATGTGTGTATGTAGCTTACGTCCTATACATTATTAATCTTGTTAAAATAATATAATTATGTATATATATGTTAAATTAAAAATAAAAAATACTACTAGCTAGGGAATGAACTTTAATTTATATAGATTAATGATGCCGTAATTGTGATTATTCTCTGATTATTTAATTAAATTATATTTTTGGTAATTAATTAATTAATGCAGATGAAGACTTTGAATTATACTGACGTCAAGTTATCCGATATATGCATCGGGACATCGGCGGCGCCGACTTACTTGCCAGCTCATCATTTCAAGAACGCCGACAATGCTGGAAAATCATGGGAATTTCATCTTATTGACGGCGGTGTAGCTGCTAATAACCCTGTAATAATAATAATAATAATAAATTATGAACAAATTATTATTTTATTTTCCATATAGATAAATTAATTATCTTCTTGCTTAATTTTATTATACCTATTTTAAATGAAAAATATATAATTGTTGAAATAATTATTTATATATATGTTATATATTTTTGGACCGGCAGACATTGGTAGCCATACGAGAAGTGAGCAAACAAATATCTCGGAACGACCCGGATTTTTTCCCGATTCAGCCGCTCGACTTCGGCCGGTTTTTGGTGGTGTCGCTGGGGACGGGGTCCGACAAACAGGAGCACAAGTACACGGCAGGAATGGCGGGAAAGTGGGGCGTGTTTGGATGGTTTTTACAAGACAACTCGGTCCCCATAGTTGACGTGTTCAACCAAGCCAGTAAAGACATGGTTGACTATTTCTTGTGCGTTGTCTTTCAGGGTCTTCGTTCTCAGGACAATTACCTTCGTATTCAGGTTTCTAATACTCTTTTTTTTTTTTAATAAGTGTCGTTTTGAGAAGTGACACGGTGATTAAGAATTTTTTTTTTTTCAATACTAATCCTCGTTAAGGAAGATAGAGATTGATATTTTGAAGAAAGATAAATAGTGAAAAATATGTACAAAAGATCCAAAACATCATTTATTTAGTTAATTGTTGATAAAATCAAATCTATTTATTTAATTATGCAAAAGGTAAAAAAAATGGGTTTTATATAGTCTATTTGAATACTTTTTTTCCTTTATAATATAGTTTTTGTATATATGACAATGAGAAATTGATCGAAAGCTAAATAATTATTATATTTTTTAATGAAATTATAATATTTATTGATATTTAAATGTATATCGAATTAGCTAATTTTTTAAAGAAAAATATTAATTACACTCTTCAAATTAATTTTTCTCTTTTCATTTACCATAATAATTATTTTATATATTAATTTTAAACCATGTATATATATATTTCATTAAAAATTATTAATAATCTAATGAGTGACAGGACGATTCACTGAGTGGGCCGAACTCGTCCGTTGATGACACAACAAAGCAGAATCTGAGTGATCTTGTGAAAATTGGAGAAAATTTGTTAAAGGCCCCTGTCTCTAGAATTAATCTTCAAACAGGAAATACTGAGCCTGTTCCCAATGGAGGCACAAATGAGCAAGCTTTGATAAAGTTCGTCCTATATTATTTTCTCTCAACCTTAATTAACTGCTTGATTATATGTATATATATATATAGACGTGGCCAAATGCCCTGCCGGTTCACGGTCCTGCCCGGCCCGTCAGTTCGGCGGGCCTCAAATGTTGGGCCCCTAACTGGCCCGACAATTTCTATGGGTCGGTTCAAATGAATAGGCCCGACCAGGCGGTAAATAAAAAATAAAAGACAGCTATGGTTCGTCGAAAAACTGGGCCGGCCCGGAACCTGCCCGACCCGGCGGATAAAAAATGAATAAAAAACGACCACGAACCAGTCCTTAATGGGTTCCGGGCCGGTTCGGGGGCAGGTTGGCCTGTGGTCATGTCTATATATATATGTATGTGTATTTCTTATGTTTATGTTACAAATCCAGTTACTTTAAAGTTAAATGATTTTGCATAATTTGCTGATTTGTGTGGTAGGTTTGCCAAGTTACTGTCAGATGAACGGAAACTCCGGAAATCGAACTCGCAGAAGACGAAAATTTAAAGGACTTTCATGGGATACATAATGATGCTCTTATTATTCTAACTAGTATTCGACCCTGTGCATTTGCACAGATATAAATAAAGTGTTGTGAGTTATTTTATGCATATAATGATTAATTATTTTTCTTTCACTTTTTTGCATGCCAAATTTACAAATAAAGAAGTTGGAATATTTACTTTTTTAAAAAAAAAATTGCGTTTATCTGATTGGATGTAATGTATATTTTGGTACGTCTTTTTTTGAATTATTTATCATTTATTAGGAATTTCAAATACGTTTTTAATTTAAATGTAACCACAATAATAACATCTAATCACATTGTACGATCAACACATTATATGGTCAGCTGTCACTAATAAAAAATTTAAAATGATTTTTGTAATTTTGATGTGATTAGTATTGATTATTTAATAATTAAATGAAAGATTAAATACATAAAAAAGTAACGGTTTTTGGAGGGAAAAATATTAAATTGCCACATAGGTAAAATTAATTAGGTTTTATTAAATGCTATTGGCTAGTAATTATATATATATAGATTGCCGTGATTGCGCCCACTAAACCTGCCTACTAAAACTGAAATGAGACTTCAAAATATATATCTCATTTGAATATGTTAAGCAATTATAAGGGCTGATTTAAAATGTTAGGCTAATTAATGTAGGATCAAATAAAAAGTGTAACCGATTAACAATCTATTAGGTAAAATTTATTAGGTAAAATTTATTAAGTTTTATTTATTAGGTTTTATTAAATGATTAGCTAGCAATTATATATATATAGATTAAGTCTAATATTCATGTAATTAAGTAATTGTACTTGTATGCACGAATTATTCATTTGTACTTTTCTTTTGCGTTAAATGGACAAGACTTACAATTTGTTAAGTATTGTGAAAGTGATATTGAGACTATATTATTGTTAAAAAATCATCATCCATGTATATTATTCCGAATGCGTTGAGCGTACGTGGCTGCTTCTGGTGCTTCGGAATCCTACTTGGTAAAGAATCATGCTTTGTAATTAGGTTTGGACAAATAATATTGATATATTAATAATTATTAATTTAGGTTTGGACATTCCATAAATATTATTTAGCTACTTAGGTAATTTAATATCACTTGTACTAA